TTTTTTTTTTGAGTGGATTGAATTGATGATCCAAATGATTCAAATAGGGTTCACAACACAACCCAACATTTATTTCCCGGTTAGGTTGGATTTCTTCATTTTTAACATTTAAAAAAATTACCTAAAAGAGTACTCGTAGAATTGAGTTGAGTTAAAGTGCGAACCCTAATTGCATGTTTGTCAAATTTGTTGAATCAAAAAAAAAAAAAAAATTAACCAAACCCAATACGATTTAGATTAGATAATCCAAATCATTTGAATCGTTGGATCATATGAACGCCTTAAATATGGTTAAATAGTTGAAATGGCAACGTAGATTGAACACTCGTAGGGGATGCCATCGTTGTGCATGAGCAAATCACAGGAAAGTGCTTCCGTCACGCATGGCTGTCTTCCTCTTAAATTGGTGCATTTTTTGGGTTTGTGGCTAACCAAATTGGATATTGGATATCACTTTCACTTTCACTTTGCTACCCAAACCCAATTCTTCTTGGACCCTTCCCTTCTTCCTCACTCTTGTTCATACTTTGGGTTCTTCTTAATTCATTTGTCCTGATCCATAGGGTTTAGATTTTGATGTATATATTTTATTTCAAATGGTCTTTCTTAAATTAAACTTGTTTTTTTTTAATCTTTTTTTTGTTTACTAATGACAATTACGATGGACCATTTAATTAAATATATAGTTGTTAAAATTGATTGATATAAGATTTAGATATTATATTGTTGACCATTACATGGTTTTTTAATGTCTGGATATATTAATATAGTTTACTTGGCGTGTCATATGGAGGTTCATGCATTATACAACATCAATAACATAATATATAGTTCCTTTAAGTCATCTAATTAAACCAACAGTGAAGTCATTTGGTTGACCTAAATCAAAGTGACCATTATCTCTCCATGCTAACTTAAAATTGCTCATTGAAATCTAATTACACTAGAGGAGTCTCACAATCCCAAATTAGAATTCTATCATGGAAATTAACTTAATTTGCATAAATTGATCAACTTAGCTCCAAAAAAAAAATTTTAATTAGCTAAAATGTAGCTAAACTAACCTTAAACACGTTCGAAAGTGTAAAAAAAAATGTCTCTCAAAGAGAAAAAATAGTAGGAAATGGTTTGAACGTACAAAACTCAAACTAGGTCAACTGGCCTTGCTGTTCCAAAATTATCAAACTCGAGCCAGATCAGCCAAGAGGTCGAGTTGAACCGTCAGAAAATGTATTCTTCGACTAGATCTGAACTGCCTAAGTGAAATGAAACTAAGCAATTGTTATGACTCAATAAGCCAAACGACATTCCTTTTATATTGGAGTCTAACTCCCCACTTTCTCAATCTAACCGAGGCAGGAAATGAGTTGTTGCATGTGTTGGGTTTAGGTTGCTACTTGTGAACGGGATTTCCAAGCCTATGGATGATTCGGCTCCAAACCTCAACCTTGGGTGCTTTTCTTGTCGAGGTTTAGGTTCGAGACTACCTTCGGTTGAACATGTCTAGCTCGCCCCCTCGATCATGCAAAAGCAAATCTCGAAAACTACAAAGAAACTAGACTCCTCGTGCTTGAGAAGAGCCTTACATGTCATGAAGCACAAACAAACTCATTTACTAAGGGCTTGGGGTTCTGAATACATGCAACAAATATCAGAAGGTATACTGGGTAGGGTGTTTTCTAGAAGAGTCATTCGCATCAGAGGAATTATTCCAACCGTTGCAAGCAAAAAAGTTAGAGGTCCAATGAGACATGTCGGCCAAGTGCCAAAATTGTGCACAATGCAAGTTCATGAGTGGACAACGTCACAATGAGAAAGTACTGGAATTAAGTCGGGGGAGAGATCAAGAGCATAGATTGCTTATAGTATAGAAGTGCTCTGAGAAAAGTCGAGAAACATTTGCTCGAGAAGGAACATCAAGCTCGATGTAAAGGCAAAGAAGAATGAAGCTGTAATAAGACCAAGAAAAGCATCAGTACAGCGGTTGCCACATGAAGGTGTCTAAGTTAAGAGTTGGCTGAAGTGCAGTGCAAACAAAGGGAAAGGGCCTAAGTTACTAGCTTCTCGACTTCACTACCACAAGGGTTTGTGCCATGAAGAAGAATTTCATGGTTGGCTTGCGAGATTCCCCTAGATGGATGCACAGTTATGTGCCACTTAGAAAATATGATTATTGACCAAGAGAAGTGTCATTGTTATGTTGTAGCAAGTTTTCCCAAACAAACGACGAAGAGTCACTAAGATGAGAAATATGGTCAAGAAGCGTCAAAAGTATCGACATGAATTTATCCCCAAACTAACTTAAAGGCGTCAGTAAGTTAAGCAATATGACCAAGAGGCATCAGATCAGAAGCTTTGTTGTATCTACATTGCGAGTCTTAACAGTCGAGTCCTAGAGTTGGGCACAAGAATAGGTTCAAAAGAGGGATAAATCATAAATAGTGTGCAATTTTCATATTCGTTTTGAAGCACGATTATTTCTAGTGGGTCAATTAGTAGCCAGTCCAAACTTCAGATTGTCATCGAGACGATGCCGAGATCAAGTATAGGAAAATGTCATAATCTACAATGTGATTGTACAAAAAAAAAAAGTCATCAGGGATGATGACGGAGTTAAATGGGGGAGAATGTCACAGTCCACAATTTGATTATATCCCAAGAAAATTCATCGAGAATGATGACTAATTTAAATGAGGAGAATGTCATTGACCCCATGTGTGAGTGATGTCCATCCAACCATGTGAGGGCCAAGATAGACAAGTGTCAAGATGAATCATCCAACACACTAACAAGAGTATGTGTTAAAACCAACCTGAGGCATAAACAAGACAGAACTAACAAGAACAACATGAATATCAGAGACAAGCTCTAATAGGGCAAAGTCGAGCTCCAAATCATAACCTCAAAAGTTGGGTTCCGACAAGAATTTTAGTATGCGAATCTAGAATTAAGTTCGTCTATATAAAATAGAACCCATGCAACTAAACATCATCAACAATCTCTTCTTCTAGTAACGTATAAAAAGAACCCAAAATTCTCCTTTCGCCGGTACTTCTCTTCGTTCTTGCTTCCATCTTGGATTTCATCTGTTTTTTTCAAGATAAACTGATGAACCTCTGCAGTAATCAAAAACCCATATAACAAATGGATGCGGCGAATTCAAATCCGCAAACAAAAAGAAGAAGAATCAAAATGCCACAGCCTGATGATTCCAGACGACCCAGAATGTTGTATGGAATCAACGTGAACGATCATAATTGGACTAATAAACTCAGCGAATGCCCTGTTTTTCGACCTTCAAGGCAGGATTTCGAGGACCCTTTTGCTTATTTAAACAAGATTTCTCCTAAAGCCTCAAATTATGGTACGAGCCGCCATTGTCATTACTTGTGTTCTTGTTTCTTGTCTGAAAATCTTTAAAATCTCAGGGATTTGTAAGATTGTTTGTCCCCTCAATGACATTGTTCCTGCAAGCCTTGTTTTGAAGAGAGAAGTGCAGAATTTCAAGTTTCAACCTTCTGTGCAGCCTCTTAAATATGCGACATGGACGACAATGGAGGACAAGATTTCGTACTATAAAAGAGGAAGGTTGTGTTTGTTGTGTTGGAATTTCAAGTTTTGGGTGTGTTTGGATTTATGTTAAGATGGGTTTGTGTTGGGTGTTTTGCAGACAGTATAAGTACGAGGAGTTTGAGAATATGGCGAACCAAGTGTTTGTTGAGAACTATTCTTCTTTGGCTTGTCTTTCTTGTAAGATGTTCGAAAGGGAATTTTGGCAAGAAATGGCTTGGGGTATTCATGACTCTGTTGAATATGGTGTCGATGTTGAGGGTAGTGCGTTTTCCAAATCCGATGAACTCGGACAAAGCAAATGGAATTTGAAGGTCTCGTGTTCTTCGTAAACCCTGAACTCTAAAACCCACAAATCCGTATTTGAATTCTTAACAGCAATTTATTCGTTCTTATTTCTTTTTGTGTCTCTTAGAAACTTCCCCGTCTATCCGAATCAATATTACGTCATCTTGAAGAGGAAATCCCTGTAAGTAGAGAATGACTCGAGAATTCTATTAGTTGAATTTTTAGATGTGTAATGGAGGTCGTAACGTGTTGATGTTTGATTAATTATAGGGCATTACACATCCAATGTTGTATATTGGGATGGTGTGTAGTACGTTTGCTTGGCATGTAGAAGATCATTATTTATACAGGTTGGTTCGTTGATATGTCTAAAAGTTTTATAACTATGTATGCTAAGCTATGCTATACGTTTACGTTTCGATTTTCAGTATAAATTATCTTCACTCTGGTGCACCGAAAACTTGGTACGCAGTTCCCGGGAGCCAAGCAAATGACTTCGAGAAAGTAGCATATGATGAGGTGTATTTGGATGATGTGCTGCCAAGCTATGATGTTGATGGGGCCGCGCAGGTTCTTGCTGAAAAAACAACCATGCTGCCTCCATCATTGTTCATGAAACACGATGTTTCAGTGTTTAAGGCTGTCCAAATGCCTGGAGAGTTCGTGATCACCTTCCCGAGAGCATACCATGCTGGATTTAGCCATGGTGAGTGAGTTTTGCCTGGTTTTGTTTCTTCTTACTCTAGCTCAGCATTACATTTGAACTGTTTATGCTGCGCTGCAGGTTTCAACTGTGCAGAGGCAGTGAACTTTGCTGCTGGAGAATGGTTTCCTTATGGCTTAATCGCCGCAAAACGCTACTCCTTTCTCGAAAGACGACCTCTAATTCCCTTTGAAGAACTTCTCTGCAAAGAGGCCATCCATATTTGCCAAGAAATGATGGCATCCCCTGGGGACTTCGTCGCTTGCACGTCTCATTACGCCATCATGGCCTCCTGCATCACCCACGTTGCTTATTATAGAGCCAGTCGCCGAAAGCTGGAGAAAAGAGTGTCTGGGTTTAATCAGTGTACGAGCAGCATCGGAACCGTCCAGTGTGGCTTCTGCACCAGAGACCGGTACTTGGCCTTCCTCATGTGCCATCGCTGCAATACATATCCCACCTGCATTTTTCATGGTACTACTACTACATTGGCTCGGATATTTGTGTTTCTTCTTTGGTGGTGTTTTTCTTTTGTTTTGTTGTTTTTGAGTTGGATGTTTTGTTTGTAGGAATTTCTACAAACTGTACCGTATGCGGGATAACGCGGAGTCTGTTTTTGAGTGAGGCCATACGTTATGTGGAAGCTGCAGCTGATTACTTCGAGAACAGGAAGTCTATGCTATCAAGTTATTTGATCGAAACTATGAAAATCCGGGAAGAAATTCAAGGCAAGACTCTAGTTTTGGTTCGGTATTTCGTCAATGTAACGGGTTTTTCTAAGGTTGATCTTTAGTATTTTGTTTCAGAGTTGTATGAACTTGAAGGCAATGGTGGGGAAGACGCTTCTACTTCAGCTGCAGATCAATAGAAACAAAAGCTTTTGGTGGGGGAAGAGGTCTAAAGAGCAAGCTCTGTTTCATTCTTTTTCTACACCATCTTCCTTGGAGATGTGGGTGTGTATATTTTTATGTGAATTTCTCATACAACCAAAAGTAAATCATCTTTAAGAGAATGCAATAGAAACAAATTAGTAGAGACCAATCTGTGGAATCAAAAACTTCAAACAGGTTGGAACCCAATTTAGTGTTCTAAAACAAGGTAATCCAAGAACTTCCTAACTGTTCTGCTATATAGATTCAGACTCGATTCCATATAAATAGGTTAACTTAGATCGTTACTGTCGTCGTGGTTGTCGGAAATGGGAAATAGTATTCAGTTTCATGATAGATCAGCTATGAATATATCAGTTTCATACCGTGTAGTATGTCCAAGCATGGTGGATTTTGCAGAGCCTTCTGAGAATTGAAGTCTTTCAAGTGGTTTGAGATTATAACAGGCAAGAATTTAAAAACTACAAAAGTTTTAACCCGCCAGTTACATCATCAACCACTTCAACAGGACCTGCAATTTGTGAAGCAAAAAGTGTACACCATTATATTCATTGGATGAATCAAATTAGTTTATACTAATTTTACATAGCACCAAAATGAAATTGTTATGTAGATCTACCCTTTAAGCTAAAGGTTGCATGGAAAACATCTACTTACCAAGAATTGCCATCACCGTTCTTGAATCTGGAAAGACAAAAAAGTGAAAATTAGTGAAGTTGATAAATTTACTGTGAAAAAAGTCGATCTACTTAGGTGAATTTCATTTAACTCACTTGGAGCAATCTGAGTTTTTCCGGCATCAATGGTAATATGGGTTGGTAGCTTCAATGATTTTGCCCTCTCCTGATGAACAGCAATATATAAAAGTTTGAAAAAATGAAAGAATTACTGAAATGCCTCAAAGAATAGATGAGATATAGAAAAGCGCGATCAGATTATATTAGGGAAAACTTCATATAACAAAAATCAGCTAGATACCATAAAATGAACTTTTAAGAAAGGAAATCATAGTGGAATTGTTACTTGCAAGACTAGCATGTCTTCCTCACTTTCTATCTTCAGTACCACCTTGGGTTGTCCACACATTTCCCACCTACATGTAAATAAAATCAAATAAATGTACAGGGAACGAAGTATGGGATGCACATTAATATAGGGAGGACGATTCTGTAAATACGTACCTATTCAACGCTTTTGGTGCACGATAATGGAGCTTCTTATAGAGACCCAAAGTTGCATGACTAACAAAAGCAAGTTAAGTGGATCAGAAACTAGTCCAAATATAATTTACAGCATTAAGAAACTGGGAAGTTCACTGTGCAAAGGTTTGACGAAATTAGATTCCTAGGCTCAATTCTCAATCATTTAATTTTTAAACAAGTAAAAAGGCAGTACTTAAACAGTCAATACTCATATTAAATCATACGAAAATTTGGCCTCTCAAGTAATAGTATAGTATCATAATTTGTCTAGTATTGGCAATTCTTTTCGTAAAGGGTCGTGGTTCCTAACATGGTATCAGAGCTATGCATAGGGGGTGTTCAATGCATATTCCACTTATATGCCTTGTACCATAAAAGTTCTGACGGTTCTTCTTCCTTATCATCAAAATCCCTTCAGTTAAACTGCATCTATGCAAGCTCAACCAAGTTTTAGCTTAACTATTATGTCCATCGCAATCTGCCATGAGGATTGAAAGGTATCTGTATACCTTAATGTGGTGGAAGGATAGGATACCACACATTACCAAGGACAAAAAAACAAAAACGGCCATAAAACCCAGAATCTACAAGTATGCTACAATATTCCAACTAAATAAATTTAACTGATGGTTTCATTATGCCTATTGTCTATTATTCAACTATCAACCAACCAAGCAAAAAATTCAGACAATAAATCTTCAAATTAGATGTCCAGAAAGCGCCGTTGAGAGATCCACCAAAAGTAGAGCACCTAGACAGTGATGGACGAAAGATCCCTCCTTATACAGTAAACTAATCTCATAAATGACTGGAATTCAGAGGGTAATTTTCTAAGGACTCCACCATTCCCTAGGGTAACCCTCATAGTAAAGAAAAGGGGCACCCGAAGAAAAGTGATGTAAGAAAGAAAAGGGTTGGGTATGAAAAAGTGGATCCATAGTTTTTGGCTATAGCATTGACAGTAAAGCAGGTTGGTCTGGAAATTGAGAAAAAGGTGAAAATGGTGCATAATCAATACATCTTTCTTTCATCGTGAAATTTTATTTACGAGGATGATTCTTCCCATTAGCACCTTTGCTGTTGTTTTATAGATTCCATTCATCAATAATTTTCCTCCATATTTCAAAAAATAGAAGCACTATTATCATCCAAAATTTTGCATTGTGACAACTTTGACTTTCAGCCTATTATCATCCAAAACCTCTTATGTTAGTCATTGATACCTTTAGTTATAATTTTAGTTAAACTTATAAATCTTTGCAATAAATTTACTATACCAGGTGTGCAGTGGGTTGTTACCCTAAACTTCCAAACATTATATGCCCAATTCTTAGTACTAGTTTCTAATAAAAACCAACTCCAGCATTCATAGTATGCAAGCAACAGTAAAATTTAAAACTTCTATCATTTTTAGCATTAAAGACATCAGTAATAAAAGAGGAGCCACAAGATGGTAATAAAATACCTGCATTGAGCAGCAATTTTTCCTTTTCCTATTTTCAAATCATTTCTCACAACTAAAACCTGAAGAGACACAGTGAAATGTTGTTATATTTTTTTAGAGAGAGTAAAAGAGAGAACGTCTTAAAGTCGTCGAGAATGATTTTCCAATAGACAGCAAGAGAGAAACAGAAAGACAGACCATCTTGAAGTCATCGAGTATGTCAGCCAAATTTTCGACCTCCAATGGCTCTTTAGGCTTATCCTTCTTCCCATTTCTGCTGGATTGGTTGATTTTGGCTAATTTAGCTTTGATAAAGATGCGAGGAGGATACTTCGAACCAATACAGTATCCCAAAACAAGGCAGCTTGCCCCAACTACAATGGCACTCAGCCATGTCAGATCCATCCAATCCTAGTCTATAAAATGCACTCCTCTACTATTGAAGTCCAGCAAGGCTATTGCTGGACCAGATACCAAATTCTAATTCAAGCAATTGAAATCCTACATAGAACAGGAATACCTCAAGTTAGAACTCAGAAACAGTAACTACAGAAGGAAGAGAACAAAGATAAAATGAATGACATAGCAGCCATTTCCTCAAATTCAAGATTATGATACACAGAAAAATTTAGATTTTTCCTGCATTTTCTTTGCAGAACACACAAAGAACCTTTTGAATGTCATTTAGGAATTTAATTTTCTGATCCCATTTGATAACGATTTGGTTTTTTGCTTTTAAATATTGTGCTTGTTTTCTCACAATTTCCTCAAATCTTAAAAACAAAAACTTGTTTTAGTTGAAAACTTGATTGGAATTTGAAATCAATCCTAAAAGGTAGACAATAAAACAAAGAAACCAATAGATGTAACTAGTGTTTGTAAGCTTAATTTTTCAAAAATCAAATGGTTATCATACGACTCTTAATCAATCTATAAAATGCATCGTGAATATACGCAATTATTAACTACAGAACGTTTTCTTATACCATGTTATTTTATTACCGTTTCAAAATTGATCAATCAGCCTCCAAAGTTCAGAACAAGCCAATTAACAGAGATATCAAAATAAAAGGATAAACCAATCCAAGAAGCCCTCACTGCAAAACAGTCCTACCATGTTATTTCATTACAGCTTTCGAAAACACCGATTTCTTAGAAAACATATAATGCGAACTTAACTCCCCACAATTCAACTTTGAATTAACCAATCCGAGTCCTTCATCGTATTCCAGATAAACGGAGTTCTTGAAAGAAACTTGCGAGACGCTTGACAAAAGAACTTATTCTTTTCTGGAAAGGAAGAATCAAAGACGTTAAAAAGGAAAAAACATTACCAGGCGTTGAATGACGATTGTGCTTATGTTGCATTTAGATGACGATCGGCACCCAGAATCTTAGATCAGACTCGAGAACAAGCCCACCACGACTGAAGCTTTCATCAAGGAGGCGAAGCATGGGTTCTCTCTGGAGCTCCTGCGCGAATTACTCGCCAAGAACAATGTATTTTTCAGATCAAATCCAATGGTTCTTATTTTAAATTTTTTTCATCGTAAATTTTTATTTTTAATAAAAATAAAATATTAGCGTATAAAATTTAAATTTATTTAATTTCTAGAATTATTCTAGTTTAATTTGAATATTTTTAAGGGTGATTGAAAATTAATATTCAAAAAATAATTATGAAAGTATCAAAATTGTTTTAAAACAAACCAATTTCAATTATTTTTAAAGTCTCGTAATTAACAATTTAATTTTATTAGTAATTTTTATTATTTTATTTACAATTGAACCTCGTCTATTAAGTTAGAAATCTAAGGTTATTAGTATAATACTGAGTTACACAGAGTTGATTATAACTTAAAATATTATAGTATATGAATAAGGTTAGATGTCTTATCTCAAAATTTACAAATTATTTAATTAAAATCGTTTATGTGAAGATATATGAGTGGAAATATCTTATACAATAAATTTGCATAAGACTGGACCAAGAAATAATCCGTTTAGATCATGAAATCAATAAAATCAAATCCATTGGTTATGGGCAAACATATAAGAAGATAAATCAAACAAATTTCATCTGTCTTGTTGATCGTCCTTATTTAGAGCTATGAACAAAAATTGGCTACTTCCTCTGTTAGAATTTATGTCATAAAGTCTTATAATTAATGACGAGTAATAATCTAAATGGATTGTAATACATAAATAAGGTTGAATGTCTTATCTTGATAATGTTGGGATTGTCTTAAAACTTCATAATTTAATATTATCCCTTGTATAACAAATCCAAGATTATGAGTGTAGTCTTGAATAATTATTATGGACCTACAAGATAATATGTTCAAGTAAACAGTTTATATGTATAGATAAGGTTGAATATTCTATCGTGGTAACAATACTAATACGACTTACTTTATAACTGTTACAAATGATTTGATTTAAATAATGCATATTGGAGACATACGAGTAGAATATCTTATATAATGAGATTGTATAAAATAGAACACAAAGTATTTAATCTCTCTTTATAGGTATAAATTAACTTTATATTTATCATATGCTTGTCAATCTTAATTTTAAATAGTTATGAGAGTGTGTTTTATTATTATTATTATTATTATTATTTTTTTTTTGTATAGATGAGAATGACTTTCATAATTTTATGACATGAATTTTTTTTTTGTCATATTTGGTAAATAGACGAGCAGTTAAGTGTTCATTTAAAAACATGAACAATAGAATTTGACTCTTTGATCGGCCCAGAATAACTTAGTTTATGATTGGATCATAAACAAATACTTGACCACTTGACCCTTTTCCTGGCAAAAAAAATAACTTAGTTTATGTTTATGGTTGGATCATAAACAAATTATTTACACAATGATCAATGGTATTTAAGGTGTAAGATGCCAATATTACTCCTTAAAGATTATATAGTGGACACAACTTACTCTACTATGCATAAGAGTGAAACTCAAACTGCAAATCTATCATGGAGTGACCTATACTTAACGGACTAAACCCCAACTGGGAGTGTAGCACGATTTAACAATATAAAAGTTTCAGAGCCCAAACCCTTATGTGGGGTTTGAGATGCCAATGCTCTAGAGAACTTTATCTTCGACCTTGAACAATACTTCCGAACCACAAATACCATGGCAGAGGAAGTGAAGGTAACATGTAAGTTTTGTATAAGGTTCCCTTAATAACTCGTAATAATTGACTTTTCTTCTCTCTCAATCTCGTGTATTTTCTTTTAAGAGACTCTTGCATAAGTCTTGAATTCATGTTCGAATCATGGTTAGGAAGATCTTGTGAAACCATAAAAGATTTCGACAAAGATGATTGGAAACGTTCGGGTATTCATCTACAATAGAAACAAAAAAATAGCTCTTTTTTTTTCATTCATGGATTCTTTATCACATAGCATAAATGGTTTTCATATGGTTGAATTACAACATAAGCATGTAATGTAAGCTTATTTGTGTGTACGCACTCCCTAATACTAAACTAAAATAGAGCATTAAAAGTATATCAGACAGACAACTGAGATGAAAGTAGAGCAAGCTAAGAATTGGTCCTCACATTGTTTTGGCCAAACATTGGGATGCTCACGGCTTCACATTTGGAGTCCCATGTTTCCCTTGTTGATCCTCAGCTAACATCTTCTCCTTCGTTTTCTGGCTAACATCTACAGCTGCTTTCGCGACTCTTTGAAACGTCTGGGAAACCCACGAAGCCCCGGTCGAGACATAGCGGTTAGTCATTATGGCTGATCCTGCATTGTTCACTGCCGCCTTGGTTTTCTCGGACACTTGAAACTTCTCATCCATTTCTCTCACTTTCTCATTCACCACTGTCGTGCCAACGCTAATTTTCTCGCTAAGGCCGATCTTTTGGTCCAGAGAAGCGACTTTCAATGAGGCTGTCGAAGTCAACCGGTGCCTCTCATCGAAAGACTTCGCCCTATTGAGCGCATCTTTGCCCAAAATGAACCCTTTGGCCAGCATGCTGCTAACAACATCCTCTGCCTTTTGCATTGCAGATCCAGTAGTTCCAGTAGTTCCAGTAGTTCCAGTAGTTCCAGCAGTTTCAGCGCCTGTGTTCTCTGTAGCCTGCTGAAACATGATTATTCATTCATTCATGTCAGGATTTGAAGTAACGAGATCGAAAATACTGCTAAGGGTAAAGATCGAAAATACTGGAGCGGACGCTGCTGGAGGGTCACTGGCAGCAACAGCAGGAAGGTTATAATCTGGTGCAGAAACAATGCTTATAGGTTGATCAACAATTGTAGCTCCCTGAGAGACACAAAACAGTTAGTCAGGTAAGATCACAGGTCACTTTCCTCTCACCCGATCGATGATAGAGGGCCAATTCTAGTTGATGAAACAAGAAAAAGCCTCTATCACAAATTTCTTCTAGGAAAAGTTAACATAAGCAAGGATATGGGCTCGTGTGAGTAGGAAACCGATAATAGATATCTATTATAGTTCTATCGTCAGCTATGGATTCAAATCTAAGAGAAATTCTCTAGAATGTTTGCTACTATAGAATTTTTTTTGTCTTTTCTGAATGATAAGGAGAAAAAAAAAATGGAAGAGAAGTGTCATTTTGGAGTTTTATCAACAATTTTCTTGTGTAGGCAGAGACTCGGTATTTACTTAAGGATACTGAATCCTTAAGTAAGGAATTACAAAAGAATTTTTCAACAAAGATGTGAGAATTATCTCATGGATACATGCAGAAAAACCAAAATCCATATGAATGAAAGAAGTCTCTTTCACTTTCTTTTCTCGGTCGGTCAGTCGAGGTAGCCGAGGGATTATTTAATGAGAGAGAAAGAACTAAAGTATTTTTCGATCTTAGATGTATGAGAAAGAATTTAACTATTCATCTACGCATTCAAAAGCGACTGAACACATTATGCAACCATATTGAATAGTTGAACTTGTTAAATCTTCTCTTTTCTGAAGAATAAAACTCTGTTCTAAGTAATTTCCAAAACATATCATTTCTTGGAGCCAGATTTCATAACAGAAGAGAATTTCTACTTGCCGGAAACGATTTCTGATGAAACTTTAAATGCATAAGAACACTAAAAATAAAATCATTCAGATGATCTACTGACCAAGAAGAAAGACAATCGAAATCAAGAAAGAGAAGAATAGAGAATGGTTTGGACCGAGAGTAGAATCGATGTCTCTGCCCCTTTCGGATCCTTGAAGGTAACAAATGCAACTTGAAATTGCTCATTGTCCCTAGAAGAAAACAAAGGAAAATAAATGAAAATGCATATGGAAAAACAGTTGGAGAACAAAATGAAGAGAAGAAAAAAGATCAAGAATTCCACTGCTCATCACCAGTTTCCAATCGAACTAAAAAAACAGACGAAGTACAATTTAGAGACATTAGTAGATCAATCTTACTTTCGCATTTCGACAAATTCAATTTCACCGGAGAAAGAAAAAAATTCTCTCAAATTTTTCTCCGTCGCGCCCAAGGAAACATTTGTAACTCTCACCGTTCGCATCTGCAACCACCATAAACAAAACAAAGAAACTGTAACGATTACACAAAAGTAACCAAAATCAAAGAAGAATTTCGACGGTTTCGGTGCTTCCGAAATTCCAGTATTATGAAATTACGACACCGGAGGTACACATTCTCCATCTCCTCAATACGAATTCACGCATTCGTTCATAAAAACCACGGAGGAAAAAAAATGAAACAAACTGATCGTTTCTTCAATCCTAAGTGATAACAAGTAGTAATCACGCCCAAGAACAGAATGAAAATTTCGGAAAATAACATGGCCAGAAATCAAACAGATAGTGAAGACAACGAACATAAAAAATAAACAAAAATTGAACACCAACCGCCATGATTCTTCTGTGTGATCCACCCGAGGGGTTTCCCAATCCAAGTTCTTAGAGAGAGAAGAAGAAGAAGAAGATAGAATGGGCGTGAGAGGTGTGTTGTGGCTTGGCGGTTGTTTAGAAACCGACTCATTCTATTTTTCTTTTTTTTTTTTCTTTTTTTACTTTTTTTTTCCTCTCTCATTTTAAACTTTATATTTTGATCTATCCACTAATGTAACATAATCCACGAATTTATCATATTATATAATGGACGTGACATAAACCACGGACAAAAATTATTATGCGTTAATAATAATAATAATAATAATAATAATAATAATAATAATAATAATAATAATAATAATAATAATAAAACAATCTGACGAGACCCTGAAAATAGAGGATTGAATTGTAAACTTGAGATTTTTCAGTCAATTCCTCTATAATTATTTTTAATGAAATAAAATTAATTTAAAAATAATTCATATAAATATTCTGGTTCTTGGTATAATGAAATAAAATTAATTTAAAAATAATTCATATAAATATTCTGGTTCTTGGTATAAATAATATTTTTTTCTTTATTAAAAAAAATTAAATAAGTATATTTAAGAATAGTTTTGAAACTAAAATAAAATAAAATTATTTTCTATTTTTATTTTTAAAAAGTTTTAGATCATTAATTAAAGAGAGTGAGAGCGTCGGCGACATTTGAATTTTCATTAAACGATCATTATCATCAGGGCGTCGACAGCCCTAACTCCGGCCAGTCCGCTGGAATCTTCTGCAGAGGCTAGCATCGTTCTTTTTCCGACGGTTCTACGGTCTGATTCTCTCTCTGTTCCTTCTCCCTCATGTATTTTCTCGCTTCGATTCTCTCTCTCCTTTACTGTCTGCTCTTTCCCGCGTCTGATTACTTGTCCTCTCCCACAAATGGTTGTCTTATTGCAAGTCTTCAGATCTTAGGCCTGCCGTAGCACTATTACTGTTTCCGGCAGCAAATGATCATTGAGGTCTTCTATTTTGCTTAAGTAGATGAGTGAACTAATTGGATCTTGGTTTCGTTATCGTTTTCTTTTTCACTCTGTTTAGTTCGCTTGAAAGTGAAGAGTGCAAGTTCTGAGAATGAATTTTCGTTTTCTATTACTTAATCAGCCTTTTTTATGTTGAAATTCTGTCATATACACATCCCAGATAGTGCTTTTACCCGCCATTTTCCCCTCAAGGATTACAGACTTCATTTATCGATTTACTTTGCATATATGATAGCTTTTCTATTTCTTTGTCTGGACTAATTTTGTTAGATCCCACGTTATAAGAGTGTCGAAACCTATCCTTAGTAGACGCGTTTTAAAATCTTGGGGGAAGCTCAGAAGGAAAAGTCGAGAGAGGACAATATCTGATGGCGGTGGGTTTGGGCTGTTACAAATGGTATTAGAGCCAGTTATCGGACGCTGGGCTCCCAAGCAGGTGGATTGTGAGATCTCACATCGGTTGAAGGGAGAGGAGAACGAAGCATTCCTTATAAGGGTGTGGAAACCTCTCCCTAGCAGACGCGTTTTAAAACCTTGTGAGGAAGCCCAGAAGGGAAAGTCCAAAGAGGACAATATCTACTAGCGGTGGGTTTGAGCTGTTACAAGTTTGATATCCAGAATTTCTTCTTCCGAGTCCGAGGATTAGGAGAACTGAGTCTCTATTGTATATTTGATATCCGCTCCTAGTGTATCTTAGATTGGTTTATACGTTTTCAACGTCATAGTTTCGGAGCTTTTGCTAATAACTTATCTATCTGAAATTTCAGATATTGGGATTTAGAATCTCCCTTAACAAGAAAACACAATGGCAGAACTTAGTCTGGGTATATTGATAGACATTCTTGATGAGGAATGGATGAGAGACACACTCCGTCATGATGGTAATTCTCAGCCTTCATTTCTCTGTACTCGAGAAATTATTTGTTACAAACTATGTCATTGCTTATTTAGTGTAGTTGTTCTATCATTTTCATAGATCTTCTACTCCCTCCTGTGCTGGTTGTTCGGACTGATGACACCGAGGACTCGAGTATGTCTCCTAACTTATAAGTCAATGTTCAATTAACAACACATGGAAAGATTATTTCTTTTAATTTAGATAACAACTTCTAAAATGAAGCATGTTTTTGCCCTCAATGTGAGATTTAATACATGGAGTTCCTGAATTTAGTACTTTAGAGAATGGAAAGTAAGATGGTTCTAAGACTCCGGATGCCTCTGAATATCGTTCCTCGATACATTTTCTTCTTCATTCTGTCTCGTGGCTTAATGGTTATTGTGCAATTGTGAAAATTGTGGATAGGAAGTAATAAACGGATCTTTAATCACTCTGTTAGAAGAACAAAAGAGCTGAGGAAGTTCTTTTTGTATCTACTTCTTACCATCTTAGGTCTGATACCTCTTTGTTTACTTTCTTTCTCATTTCTTTTTTCCCCCCTCTCACTCACGCACGTTTGTGCACAAACGTATGTTGCCTTAATCTTTTCTTCGTGCATAAAATTTCAACGTACAAAGTATTTAGATGATGGGTAAATCCCTTTTGTAAATTTCAAATATCAATGAAATTGTATCTTATATAAAAAAAAAAAAAGATGTGGGAATTATTGTTTTATATCGCTAATTATTTACCTGTCTTTGATTCCACTATTATGTGCTTCTTGCCATTGCCATTAGACAATCAAGTCAAGATCTATAAAGTCGACACCTTAAAGTGCACCGTTTGTTGAGGATTATTGGGAGGGAGTCCTACATTGGTTAATTTAGTGGAAGTTCATGGGTTTATAAGTTAGGAATACTATCTCCATTGGTATGAGGCCTTTTGGGGAAGCCCAAAGCAAAGCCACGAGAGTTTATGCTCAAAGTGTACAATATCATACCATTGTGGAGAGTCGTGTTCGTCTAACATGGTATCAGAGTCATGCCTTAAACTTAGTTGTGCCAATAGATTGGTAAATCCTCAAATATCGAACAAAGAACTCCAAAAGAAAAGGAGCCAAGCCTCCTCGAAGGCCGTCAAAAATGACCAAGACTCTAAAGGAGTCGAGCCTCGATTAAGGGAAGGCACACTTTGTTCGAGGGGAGGTATTGGATGATGAAAGTCCCACGTCGGCTAATTTAGAAAATGATCGTGGGTTTATAAGTGAGGAATACTAACTCCATTGGTGTGAGGCCTTTTGAGGAAACCTAAAGCAAAGCCATGAGAGCTTATGCTCAAAGTGGACAATATCATACCATTGTGGAGAGTCGTGATTCCTAACACCGTTCACTTGAAAAACACTATTCAAATACCAAATTATATGCAAATCTATTAGTTGTTTGCAGGAGAAATCGATTTTGATCCCTTTGACCTCGTAACATCTTTGCAGATCAGGAGGCTCAGCCAGTTGATGCTGATACCTGGCATGATCTTGCTCTAGGTAACCAATGAACCTTCTACTAACTAAGGATGGTCCATTATCAAGAGATTTTCTTCAAGTTAGAAGTCTTATTATCATATTCTCTTGCTGTATTCGCATTGTAGATTTTAAAATCTCATTAATCCATGTTGTAGAGGTTGAAGATTGATGTAGAAATTGTTTATTTGTGGTAAAAGAAATAGTCTGTCAAGTACTACTCTACATGGATTTGCTGCTCTCTTTTGTAATTCTCGTGTGGAGACATGATATCTATGCCCCTACACAATTGTTATGCCAAATCCGTAGTGGAAAACAGTTTAGATTTACTTCTAAACGTAGTGGTGTTCAAGGAAAGTTCTACCATCGAAATTGCTTTGATACTTGAATCAGAAAAACTTCTCAATTATTCCTCTCCACGTTCTAAGAGCTTGAGTTTGATTCTTTTATCCCAGAAATCCTGATGTAAATTTTGTTCAATCCTTAAACTTTCTTGTTCTTCTATTTGGGTCTCTGAATGTTTAATAGCCGAACAGAGCAGTTTTGGTGTTAAAATGACAAAAAGCATACGTGGATTGTAATTGTGAAGTTTCAATCTTGTGAGACTAGTTGTCAATACATTTTTGCAACCTTGTTCTTGTTGCACTTTACCGAGGACACCATTATCTTGTTGCTCGCATCGTGATCGATCAGTTGTTGGCTCGTTGGTAAGGCAAGAGCTTCAAGCCTGATTTATGGTTGATTCACCTCCTATTTGATCTTTATTCTAAAGTTTTCTTTTTGAGTCGTTTGGTTAGAAATTTTGTTTAACTTTTTTTTAATAAGATAGTCGGACTAAATATATATATATATATATATATATATATATATATATATATATATATATATATATTTTGTTCTTGAACATTTCTAACCATTTTATTGTTAGACGTACATAACTCTCCACAATGGTATGATATTGTCCACTTTGAGCATAAGCTCTCATGGATTTGCTTTAGGCTTTTCCAAAAGGCCCCACACCATTGGAGAGAGTATTCTTTGATTATAAACCCATGATCATTCCCTAAATTAGCCGGTGGGACTTTCATCATCCAACACCTCCCCTCGAACAAAGTACGCCTCTCCTTAATCTCGACTCCTTTTTCTTTTGGAATCTTAGTCATTTTTTACTATGCCTTCGAGGAGGCTCAATCTTAGTCATTTTTTACTATCCCTTCAAGGAGGCTCGACTTTTTTTCTTTGTTCGACATTTGAGGATTTACCAATTTATTGGCACGACTAAGTTTAGGGCATGGCTCTGATACCATGTTACAATGGTTTGATATTGTCCACTTTGAGTATAAGCTCTCATGACTTTGCTTTGGATTTTCCTCGAAAGGTCTCACACCAATAGAGTTAGTATTTCTCACTTATAAACCCATAATCATTTCCTAAATTAGCCGGCCTCACACCAATGGAGTTAGTATTCCTCACTTATAAATCTATAATCATTCCCTAAATTAGTCAGACTTTCATCCTCCAACATTTAATACACTATTTGACATTATATAATTAATGGTTAGTTATTTTATTTTTATTAACTCAAATTATTTAAATTATTTTAACTAACTTAATTTAATTTTAATTCATTAATAAGTACATTATGAATATTAGGTGTCCTATCTCAATTATTTAAATAACTTGTACTGAAGTATTAATTATAAATAAATAATAATCAATTAGTTATAATTATTGACCAATAATTTTTTAATTGATTTGGTTTAATTAATAAGTTTAATAAATAAACTTTCATCACGGGGCGAAAAGTAAGTAACATGACTATATTGCAAAGGATGTAGGAGAATGCCGGGACTATCGAGTGTCGAATTTGAATTTTGAATCATAATTCGAATTCATGATGCGTTACAATTAATCGAGTAATTCGAAAGACGAATGCTAAGAGACTCAAGTCAAGGAAAGACATGAACGTGATGTTGCTGCTAATCTAGTGGTCACCCAACCAATTGAGTGTAGTGGTAAAATTAGAACGGTTCCAAACCTCTCGACTCCCTCTGCACCCCTACCTTCTTTACCATTGAGTGGTCGTTTAGGAGTTTAAACAGGTGATTCGGGTTGTTTCCTTCTCGACAATGAAGCTTATCCCTTATTGTCTCATTGGCCGATCTTGACCCCTGTTATTTTGAGATCATATCTAGTATTCAGAGTTTGCCTTGATTTGGTACCGCTCTCACGGCCCACACCGAGATAGTGCTTTACCCCTAATGCTGTACCTCAACGCATTTTTGGGAGAACCAACTAACTCTAGGTTCGAGTGACATTTCACCCATAACCACAACTCATCAACTAATTCTTCAACATTAGTCGGTTCTGACCTCCACTTAGTCTCACCCAAGCTTCATCCTAGTAATGGATAGATCACCTAGGTTCGAGTCCATAAGCAATTACAATTGTCCCATGAAGACTCGCTTTTGCTACGACTCTAGTGGGTTATGTTATAATTAAACTTGTCATGAAAAATTTATCGGGAGGGAGGAAACCGAGAGAGTTCTCCCTCTATAATTGACTTTTCTGTCCCCGTCCCCGTCCCGTGAACATCTTAATGGGTTATCATTAAGAAGTGATCAAACCAATACAATGCTAAGAAATTGTAAGATCATACGATTGATACTTGTAACGAGTTGGAGCCTCATTTCTCAACTGACACGACTTTGAATTACTTCCCCGTTCTTACAAACCAAATCCCATTTCTTCATTTTTCGTAGCTCACTTCATCCCTTTTGTCGCCCCTCAAATTCTCCTCTCTGGGTAATTCTTCTTTCATTACAGTTTCATTTCTTCACGATCAACTAATTTCTCTCTTTCTTGCCTCGTTTAGAGGTGTGTGTTATTGATGCATCTCGTTCTTAACTGCATTTGAATGTTTTATTATGCTAGAACGATGGGGAAATCGTAGGTTGTGATGTGCTTGATCAGTTTCCTTTTTGTTGGGTTGGATTCTAGGAGCTTGCTTCCCTTTAGCGATGATCGTCTCATTCCGAACTAGTTGAAAATCAATCGTTAATTAGCCATAATCTATGTCTATTTGGAAATCCCGTGAATGTTATGGTATTTTTAATTATTTTGACAGCTTACGCTCTTCAACCACCAAATCTTTTAGTCATTGTTCATTGTTCATGGCTGTTGTTATTGTATCGTTGCTCTGAAATCCAGATTTATCCTAGTGGGGTCTGGGTGAAGGTGCAGAACAATGAACAAAGGCTTGTAAATTGGTGCTCTTATAAGTTTTTTTTCGTCTCAGGAGGATATTAGGTATCGGATTATTAAGGCCATGCAAATCATAGCTTAGGTTGTTCTTTTCATCATTTTTACGCCAAAAAGAATGGAAAAAGCTCTTACTGAGATCCTGGATTCGTTTTGTTTAATCTTTACGCTAATTCCATTTGTGGAATAAACCAAATCTATTGCTAACTGAAATCGAAATCATTTTAACATTTTCATCAAGAAATCATCTTAAAATTTTGATAGTTTAGATTTCTTATCATTGTCTTTGTATTTTTCTTTTCGCAGACCATGACCGTCAAGGTTGAACTCCAGAAGGTGTAGTCTTGGACTGCTCTAGGAATTGCTTGATTTATTTTCATTATCTTCAACTATGTTTATAATTTTGGTTTAGCGTTCTGTCAGGGTATAAGCAGAATATTTATTAGGACCGTAGACGAATTTTGGGTCTTAAAACAATATCGCTAAGATAGTATTGACGACCTTATTTGAAGTTCTGTGGATTTCAACTTTACTTTATTTTTCATTTTGTGTTACGTGAATCAGATGCTTATGTATTTTTGTACAGATTGGAATTCTTGGGCTTCAGCTAATATGGCATTTCCTGCATTTGATTCTTAGCTCATTTTACTTTGTGGTTGGTATTGCCACAACACTTGAAAGTTATTTGATATCATGTGGACTCCTACGCAAGTACAATCATCTTAGTATAGAGATGGTTAAATATCTTGCCATTGTGGTGGATAGTGATGAAGCTTATAATACTTTAAAAATTATTGAACTTCTGCAATGGTTAGCATCGTTGGGCATTAGAAGCATTTGCTTGTATGATGTTGAAGGTAATGATTTTGGGTCCACCCAAGAATTCTGAGCCCTCATTTGAATGTCTTTCCAAATTTGTTGAATTTTATGCTTACTTGACTGTATTTTATGCTCAAGGGGTGCTTAAGCAATCCAAGGAAATCATTTTGAAGAAAGTAAACAATGCGTCGGTGTTCCAGGTACGTGCAAATGTAACGAAGATAGAATTAAACCTAATGGTTCAGTAAGTGACAAAGTCTTTTGCATTCAACCAAGTGTTCGTGGTGTCCAAATACTTCGAGGCCTTCTCTGGAATATTAATAATCTAGGGAGTTTCCTAGTCTTGATTGTTGCATGGCTAACGATACTTCGAGGCTTTCTAGGGTCCTTTATGGAATAGCATACTTTTGATTCCATGTGTACTTCTCTTTGATGATACTAAAGATCGCATGTTGGGCGCTTTTCTTTCTTTGGAGTTGCATATTGGTCTTTGCATGAGGTCAGTTATTTCTTCAATAGAACGACGCATAACTGCTACTTCTTGTTTTCTATTACACGTTTGACCAAGGAAAATCATAGTAGTCTGCAATTTGAACTTAAGAGTTGAATGCTAATAATAAGATGTGCATTGTTCATCTAACTTGGTCATTGCATTCAGTAAACTGATGTACCTCTCCAATTAAACTGTAAGGACATTACTCTGGAGTTCATATCAATCTCTGATGGAAAGGAAGCCGTTGCCAAAGCAGCTAATTTTCTTCTTGAAAATAAGTTCAGAAAAACGAACATGAGCGAAGATCACAGGCGGCGCTTTTCTGAATCTCAGATGACTGAGGCTTTAAAAGCAGTTGGTTTGTATTCTTGGTTATGCTTGATAAGGTTCAGAGTACTACTTTACTCGAATGTTAATTAATCTTATGGGTACTCGTGAATCTGTTATTAGGTTGTGGAGGACCTGATCCCGACCTTATGTTAGTATATGGACCTATACGATGTCACTTAGGGTTTCCTGCATGGAGAATTCCCTACACAGAGATTCTGTGAGTCTTTTTGTTCATTTTTTTTATAAGCAATGGCGCTTTTCACTGAAATGATGGAAGTAGCTAAAAAATTACTACCGAGAAGGTGAAGTACACATGGTGGATAATTACACAGGTTCTATTAAAGAACAGCAACTCGATCATCTAAACTTATGAACACCCAAGCATCCTCCATATCCTTGCCTTAAGAGATCAAAATCTCTTCTTTCTCTCTATCAACAGCTTCTAGAGGAGCAGGGACTGATGCACCCACAACCTCCTTGCGCTATTCTTTAGGGAATGTCCA